TGTAGTTTTTATTGTTCATATAGAAACCACACCACTGCTTTCTGCTCACTGGTGAGTTAGCCTATGAATGAGTGTTAAGCACATCAGGCTGGCAGTTGTATGGGCATTGCACTGGTAGTTGTTATTTGCACATTGTTAATCATGGTCAATGCATGCTTAAATAGTTTGACTGTGAGGTGTTATACAATTGTACTGTACTCTGGAGAGTGTTTTAGGTAAACAAGGTAAAAAAGAACAGCATGATGGGATGCGCAGTACTAGTAGAGAGAACCAAATATGTAAAAAGCACTTTTTGTTAATTTATGATTTGCTGCATATAAGGAATAAAACAAAAATCCTCTGTCGTACCATATTGAAGTATCATTATTTTGCATCGTGTTGAATCAAATCGTATCGAACTGTATCGCAACAGGGGTGAATCGTATCGTATCGCATCGCCTGGTGTTTCAAATGTATCGTTATGTATCGTATCGTTGGCAACGTATCGAGATGCGCATCGCATCGGCCCTCAGTGAGTGAGATCACATCCCTAGTGTTTACACACCTAATGGCCCATCAGCCCGCTCTCTCCCCCCCCCCTGATCTTTCTTCTCCAGCAGTTAAGTTAACTGTAGGTTACTCTGAGTGCCAAGCTTACCAGTTAGTGAAGTAACAATGTTTTTGTGTGAGGTCACGACCTGCATGTTTCATTCAAACATAATGCCTCCAAATAGCTACTGTTTCCACTCGGACTTCATACAGCTACACCATTGTTTGGTTTCCATGGTAGCGCGTCTCTTTAGTACACTGTAAAAAAAAAAAAAAATCGTAAAAAAAAAACGTCAAAGTACTGGCAGCAAGCGGCTGCCAACAAAAACCCTTAAATTAAACGTAAAAATACTTTAACTGAAATAAAGTGAATAAGCCATTAATTTACGGAATTGTCCCTTAAAGGATTTTAACAGGAAACACTGTAATTTTACAGATTTATCCTCTCTTTTTACAGTCAATAACCTTTAATAAAAGTACATTACTAATACTTTAACGTGCAAATACTCTAATTTTACAGATTTATCCTCTCTTTTACAGTCAATACCTTTAATAAAAGTACAGCGCTAATACTTCTAACGGGCAAATACTCTAATTTTACAGATTTATCCTCTCTTTTTTACAGTCAATAACCTTTAATAAAAGGTACATTACTAATACTTTAAACGTGCAAAAAACCCGTAAAAAAACGGTCCAAAGTACTGGCAGCAGCGGCTGCCAAACAAAAACCATAAAATTAAAGTAAAAATACTTAACTCAAATAAAGTGCAAAAGCAATTAATATACAAGAAATTGTCCTTAACGATTTTACAGGAAACTTTCCTCTCTTTTCAAAATCCATTGTCTTAAAAATGTTACATTCAAATACCTTAAATAAAGTTCTGATGAGAACAAACTGTTTTTTACATTTGTTTTATTAGATTGTATGATCAAACACTAAAATAAATACAGTAACCTAAAGTTCTACAGGTAGAATACTGTTATTTTACAGGCTTTTTTCTAACATTTTTCCAATCAAAGACGTTCAAGATGAAAAGACATCACAAAATGTTCTGTAGGAAACATTACTCTGAACAAACTTAAAATATGAAAACTAAATGAATACAAAGCAATTTCATATTTAAACATCATACTTATAAACAGTAGAAACAAAAAGTAAGTTGAATTTTTTTAAGAGTACTATTGAAACATTCTCACACAGAAAAATAACAGAAAATTACAAAATGGGCAACATATGTTCCACATTGTACATTTGAAGAGCAGTGTGCAGGATTTAGTACGTCTAACAATGGGGATGTAGGTTCAACCAATGGATAACTTGTTCCACTAATCACCCCTCCTATCCCAAGTTTGTAGAAATGTATATTGGCTGCAAAAAACTTGAGGCCCAAATCATGTTTCCTCTGTCCATTCTGCGCTACTGTAGACGTGGCAGTGCAACCTAGAGGACAAAAAGATCAGAATCAGAAACAGGTTTTATTGCCAAGGTAGGTTCACACGTATGAGGAATTTGACTAGGTGTCGTGGTGCAATACATACAATAAAAAAATAAAAATAAAAGTATACAGATAGCGAACTATATTAAGAACACTGTAATCAAAATATAGTAAGATAGCAATAAAAATATAAAGCGTAATTTACATCGAAATAGAATGCAATAAATTAATAGAATATAAAATATGTGCAGTAAGCAATAATTTAACATTGCATTATTTACCATCCTGTTGATCTCCATCATGTAATGCATAGAGGTCTGCGTTGTGGCTGAGGTAAAGTTGTCAGTGGGGGGGGGGGCGGGCCTTGTTTGAGGTGTGCGAGAGGTTTTGGTCCTGATGGAGAGAGGTTCTGGTCCTGATGGAGAGAGGTTCTGGTCCTGATAGAGAGGTTCTGGTCCTGATGGAGAGAGGTTCTGGTCCTGATGGAGAGAGGTTCTGGTCCTGATGGAGAGAGGTTCTGGTCCTGATGGAGAGAGGTTTTGGGTCCTGATGGAGAGAGGTTTTGGTCCTGATGGAGAGAGGTTCTGGTCCTGATGAGCGCAGGCCTCCCGCCAGAGGGGAGGGGGGGGTGAACAGTTTGTGTCCAGGGTGGGAGGGTTCGGCCACTATCTTCCCGCCTGCAGGTTAGGGAGGGATGGCAGATTGCAGCCGATCACCTTCTCTGCAGAGCGGAATGACAACCTGCAGCATGCCCTTATCCTTGGCTGTGGCTGCAGCGTACCAGATGGTGATGGAGGAGGTGAGGATGGACTCCATGATGGAGGTGTAGAAGTTCACCATCATCGTCTTTGGCAGGTTGAATTTCTTCAGCTGCCCTCAGGAAGAACATCCTCTGCTGGGGCTTTTTGATGAGGGAGCTGATGTTCTGCTCCCATTTGAAGGTCCTGGGCGATGATGGTGCCCAGGAAAGCGGAAAGACTCCACAGCAGTGACTGGGGGAGTCACACAGAGTGATGGGGGCGGGTGGGGCTAAAGTCCACAACCATCTCCACTGTCTTGAGAGCGTTGAGCTCCAGGTGGTTTTCCCCACAGCAGGTCACCAGATGGTCCATCTCCCACCTATAGGCAGACTCTTCCCCACCAGAGATGAGTCCGATGAGGGTGGTGTCGTCTGAACTTCAGGAGCTTGACAGACTGGTGACTGGAGGTGCAGCTGTTGGTTCGGGAAAGAACGCAGCCTTGAGGGGAACCGGTGCTGATGGTCCGGGGGTCAGAGACGTGTTTCCCCAGCCTCACGTGCTGCTTCCTGAAGCTGGAGAGCTTGTCCTGCAGCAGAGCCGGGATGATGGTGTTGAAGGCGGAGCTGAAGTCCACAAACAGGATCATGGCGTAGTAGTTTCCTGCTGTGTCCAGGTGCTGGAGGAGGAGGAAGTGAAGTGATAACTATTAGTAAACCATATTAATGGATGTTATTATTATTATTAACACACACACACACACACACACACACACACACACACACACACACACACACACACACCACAACACCACACACACACAAAATTGAGAGCATCCCAAGGGCATTGATTATTTCATAAGTTTAGAAGGGGGGAACATAGTCTAACAACAGTTAGCTTTTGTTAATTTTACCTCGAGCCAAACTTGTGATACTTGTTTCTGAAATCCCTTTCTCTTAAAGTGAATAAAAAACAAAAAAAACAATGGAGCTTACCCTAAAACTAACCACTGGATTGCTTGTCTAACATGACCTAGTCCATGTTAGCGAAGTACAACTGGGATTTCGAGGGGGAAGATATGCTTGGTTGATTCTAATTTTTACTTTCTTACTTTTTGAATACAAATCATGTTTGTATCACTACACTTCTAAGGGACAACATGGGTCAAACATTGCCCGTATTCTTTTGCTATGTTATTTCATGCATGGCTGAGTGTTTATTTACTATACATTTTCAAAAATAATTAATTTTAGCAGTGATTTGGACCAAACATGTATGATGTAGTAATACAACAAGTATTTTAGTTCACACAGTGTGACATTAGCTAGTCATGTTAGCTTGTAATATATACAGTAGAGCAGAGCTAACTAGCAAGTTAGCCGAACGTTAGCGGTTAGCTGTTTATGCTATG